AATTCTGGGAGTTGAAGTCCACTCATCTTAAAGTGGCCAAGTTTGGACAACACTGCCTTAAAGAAATGGAAACTGATAAGCCTTACAGGGAGCCTCACTGAAAATTGTATTGGCAAAGACTTAAGTTGACTAGTAGAATGCTGTTGCAAGCCCCTGGTGTCCACTTTCAGGGTTTACAATCCCATTTGCACAATAGTATTCTGCAGCCAGTGAGCATGCTGAATCATTATTGGGCTGTTCTGAGAAGACACGCCCCCCAGTACTTTCTGCACATCTTAAAGAGTTCTAAGCCTAGTGATGTCTTCCACTTAGGGATGGATAGAGCTGGTTGCACTAAAGAAGATGTGGTGTGGTTAAGGACTAGTTGAGCCTGTCCCACAAAGTTAAGAATGGTTTTATTTTGGGGGAGGCCTTGAAGCAGTATGGGTGTGTGATCATCCTGAAATTGTTTTTTATCCTTAAAGTCAGCTAGCTATGGCAATCGATGACCAGCTTGCTTAAGCATTTGGTTTCTTAAAAAAGCATTTGAATGTGTGGCCTAATAGCTTTTATATAAAGCTGTCTTGCCAATGATAAGAATTAAGTGCAATTATATTAGCAACTCATTTTTGTCTGTTTGTCAAATATTCTGCTATGGATTCTCTTCTCACATACTATTTGCAGTAAGAACAAAGCTTTAATTTAGGCTTTTTCATAAATATTATTTTTTGTGTATCTAATACAGTACTGTATTGATGCAGCATCCTTGAAAAGCAAGTAGGGGTTAATTACATACTTCAGGTCTAGTTTTGAGTAATCAAAAGAGAACATTTATTTTTATGAATGCATTTTATTAAATTATGGAGCAAAATGGAACAAAAGCTTAGTAATAATGTAATTTGTCTCTTTTTTTTCTCCTGCCATTTTTGGGGGAAAGTGCTCAAGTTTATGTAACTTAAATCATAGTCTTAAATGTCTTGTGTATTCAAACTACACATACTTGGAATTTGTTATCATTCTGCATTTGGGGCCATATCCAAATATGTGGGATAACATATCACCCTAATAAAATTAATCATATGTAGAAAGTGAATATTTTGAAACTATTCCAGATCTTAATGAGTTGCTGTTATAGGTATAACATTCATTTTCATGTAGTTTTCCTCACAGGGAGGAATATTTTAACATTTCTGTCTTATATTCAGGTCCTGCAGCACTTAGGAGACTTTGGCTAACCTTGAAAAAACTAAGCAGGGTCAGATTTGGGGGAAATGACCAGGAAATCTATGTCAAGCCCCTAAAAGTGTACCATGAACAGGAAAATAAGGTTCTCATCAAGTTTCATTAATTAGGTTGTGTATCTGTACCTGCTAATATTAGGGGTTAGAATATAGATTCCTGGAAAATGAATAAGCAAAATTCCTACCTTCATTTATGAGTGATTTTATTACGGCTCTGTGAGTTCCAGAATGCAAAACTGGAGGGCAAACTTTTCCTAGATAAGACTTGCACTGAAACATCCATCTGCTGTTGTTTAGAGACATTTGGAAATATTTCCTTTTCTTTTTCATTTTAGTATCGATGAATTCTCTTACAGGTTAATTCTGATGAATTATAGTTTTGTTTTTATATTTTCCTCAAGTTTTCAATAAAAATAACACATTTTGATTTGAGGCTCATTTTTTCCCAGTGTACCTATCTTTCATGCTTTTTTTAAAAAATTACCAAGATAGGTTGAGATTATGCAAATCTCTGTCTTTGCTTTAAGATACTTGCTGGGATTTTGAGGTCAAACTCCACATTCTTTTCCAGAAATGTAAATGCAGTGAGAACGTCTGATGCTACTTCCGGTATTACTGTACAAATAAAAAACAAATTTTGATTTTGGATATAATGATAGCCTATTTTCTTTTTTATTCTAGTCTGATAATTAGAAACAAATAAGCGATACTAGTAGGAAATACTGTTGGGTTAAACAGTAGGAATTTAAAACATCAATAGATGTTTTCTAAACAGGTAAGTAGGCTACCTTTTAAAAAATAATCAAGAACTATAGCTGGAAACAAAACATTTGAAATTTATTTTTCTCTGTGCTCTTTCAAAATGTGGAGCTGCTTTAATTTTTGGACTCTGGTTGTATGCTCTAGCCCTATTCAGTAATGACCAGTTCACATGATATATGTCATACACTTGGGCTTATTTAGTAAGGTAAGGGTAGAGAACTAATCTTGGGATTCATGTTTTTCTCTCCAAACGTAGAATGTATAAAATGATCAGATGTGTGCATACTGTCAGTACTGCCAGTTTCCTTTTTGAGAAAACAGAATGTAAACTTTCCCAGGGGTTGTTGGAACAAAGATGACCTTTTATTAAGGCACATGGTAAAAGAGGACATAGGAGCTTCCATGACCCACCATTTGCGTATGTGGGCAGGTTTATAAAATTCTTTTCTGCAGCATATGAATGCAGTGCATTGTTCAGGTGGAACCAGTCTTCATTAACTGCTCATTATTTACCTGTTTTTCTTTTATTATCCGGAGACTCAATAACAAATGGAGATCACAACTTTATTGTTGGTTTTCTGAACTTGAATGAGCTTCACTCATTCAAACTCCCATGCGTGCAGTTCAATTTCTAGCTAGCCAAGTTAGATTTGAGTTCCAGAAGAGTCAGGTTTGATCACACTGCATGGTAATAGTCCTCTGTGATGATTCTGAAGGATAGCAGTTCCCACACATTTTTATGCCTTCCAGTAAGGCTTGACTTGTCCATCACAGTTTGGTCAATTATATGCTTTTCTCACACATCCTGTTAGTTTTCCACTGACTTATCCACTTCACATGGAAATGATCTATTGCTTTGGGAACTATCTTTTGCTGTGAGAACGTAGCTTTCAATTCTTAATTCAGGTACTTTTTTACATACTACATAAGCTGAAATCTTCCCTGAATAAAACTTTCTGCCTCTATGGTATGCTTTGATTGGTCTCATATACTCAGTTCTTAACACAAATACACATCATAAAACTATATGCCAATATGCCATGGTACTATATAATGATTGGTATTATATGCTATTGAAAATATACTGGCATTAATATGCTGATAGATAGTTCTTTAATTAATATTCCTATACATGATTCTAGCATAAAGATTTTACAGATGAGCCATAATGTGTATTGGTAAATAAGCATGAAAGTTCTCACCCATAAAGGTTATGTTATGACTGTGTTGGATTGAACCTTTTGGTGAAGATGACATGTTTTGGGGGAACCATCTTAATCCCCCACCATATGTGGTATAGGGGTAACAACTTGGTTCCCTTCAGATGTTTGGACTACAGTTCCCTCTGTCCCTTAACATTGGCCATGCTGGCTGGAGCTTATGAGAGTTAAAAATCCAAAACAGTTATAGGCTACCTGCATATTGATTCATATAGCTCTTCAATGAATTGCTGTGTGGATTATCCTTTTTTTTTTCCTCCTTTCCTTTCTGTGCTTTTGTTCATAGACCATAAGCTAATTTCTTCTTTCATAATCTAAATTCTCAGCAGGAAAACATGCAAGATTTTAATATAAGCTCCTTGAGGATTTAGCAGCATACTTAAAAATCCATTAACCTTCTGTCACATTCTCACTTCTTCTGCAAAGCTTGCTCTATTATTTCTTGTTAGGAAAAAAAAAAGTGAAAAGATTTTAATTTCAAATAAATCTGAAAATTCCCAGATGCCCAGGAGTTTCATTTTTCAGCTCACAATCCTTTTCTTTTTATTTGTTCATTATACTTAAAACATGTTTTACTGATAATGATTAAAAATAAGCTTTAGAATGATGATGCCGTGTGGAACAAATAATTTAGAATACATATTTTTTGAATGTTTTTTTCCTGAATTTGTCAGAAATGATACATAAAGGGTTGGGTTGAGTTGGTTTGGAGTGGTGTGGTTTTTACATAAAAACTTGACTCAAACTTTACCAGTACTGAAATGCAACCTCTAGTTCATTTCTGGGATTCAGCAATGTGTTTTGGATATTTTTTTGTTCTATGGCTGCAGTTCTATAATTCTGTCTAAATTGGCAGGACAAGTCTTCGCTAAGGGAAAGCCAAGGGAAGCAGTTTATAGAAACTAAGACAATAGCCTCTAAATTAATTCTAGAGTCGTGGTTCACAGTTTTGAATACATAGGCAATCTTCACAAGACTCTGCGTTTCAACTGAAAGCAACACTGAGGGTAGAGGGTGGGTATATACTGTATCTGCAGAACATAATGTGCCTTTAGGAATTGTCCAGCTACTCTGCTGGAAAGGTCCTGATCCTGCCAACTCTTGAATTCAGGTGC